ATGCGAATGTGAGTGGTCGCAGTAGGAGTAACCGTAGTAGTAGTAGTAGGTGCTGTTGTAGTCGTAGTAGTAGTAGTAGTAGTAGTAGTAGTAGTAGTAGTAGTAACAGTATAATAGTAGTAGTAGTAGTAGTAGTAGTAGTAGTAGTGGTAGTAGTAGTAGTAGTAGTAGTGGTAGTACTAGGGGACGTAGCAATCATGCTCGTAGTAGTAGTAGTAATAATAGTAGTTGCAGCAGTCCTGGTCGCAGTGGCCGTACCCGCAGTAGAAATACCCGTAGGAGTCGTAGGGGCACTACTAATACACTAGTAGTCGTAGTAAAAGTAGTAGTAGTATTAATAGTAGTTTTAGTAGTAGTAGTAGTAGTAACAGTAGTAGGAGCTACAGTTGTAATAATAGTTGTAGTCGCAGTGGTAAGAATAGAACTAATTATGGTAGTGTTAATACTGCTAGTAGTAACCATAAGAATAGCAGCATAATGCATACTAGCCGTCGTCGTAGTAGAGATAATGGTAAGAGCAGCAGTCGGGTAGAAGTTGTAAGTGGCAAGAAGTAGTAGTACTACAAAAAGCAGTGGTAGTATCTGTAGTTGTAGCAGTCGTACTCGCAGGAGTAGTAAAGTAGTAATAGTAGCAGTAGTAGTGGTATTTGTAGTGGTACCAGTAGTAGTAACAATCGTATTCGTAGAATTTGTAATATCTATAATAGCAGTAGTAGTAGTAGTAGTAGTAGTCGTCGTAGTAGTAGTAGTAGTAGTACTACTACTACTACTAGTCGTAGTCGTTGTCGTAGTAGTAGGAGTAGCAGTAGGAGTAGTAGTAGTAGTCGTAGTCGTAGTAGTAATAGTAGTAGCGTAGTAGTAGTCGGCGAAGCAGTATTAGTAGCAGCAGCAACAATAACCATGGTAATCGTAGTAGTCGTCATCGTCCTACTAGTTGTAGTAACAATAAATAATACTAGCAGTAGAAGTAGAAGCCGTCGCCGTAGTTGGGGCAGTCTTAGGGGTAGTGATCGTAGTCGTCGCAGTAGTAGTGATAGTAGCCATCGTAGTGGTAGTAGTCGTAGTAGTAGTAGTAGTAGTTGTTGTTGTTGTTGTAACTGTAGTAGTAGTAGTAGTAGTAGTAGTAGTAGTCGTAGTAGTCGTAGTAGTCGTAGTAGTCGTAGTAGTCGTCGTAGTAGTAGTAGTAGTAGAGTAGTTAGTAGTAGTGGTAGTAGTAGTACTAGTAGTAGTAGTTAGTAGTAGTAGCAGTCGTGGTACTAGTATATAGTACTAGTAGTTTGTAGTCGTAGTAGTAGTTCGTAGTATAGTTGCAGTTTGCCCAATTGTATAGTGTAGTAGAGTACTAGTAGTAGCAGTAGCAGTAGTAGTAGTAGTTAGTAGTAGTAGTAGCAGTAATAGTAGTAGTATTAGTAGTAAGCCGTAGTAGTAGTAGTAGTAGTAGTTAGTTAGTAGGTAGTCGTAGTCGCAGTCGTAGTCGTAGTAGTAGGTAGTAGGTAGTAGTAGTAGTAGTAGTAGTAGTAGTAGTAGTAGTAGTAGTAGTAGTAGTAGTAGTAGTAGTAGTAGTAGTAGTAGTAGTAGTAGTAGTAGTAGTAGTAGTAGTAGTAGTAGTAGTAGTAGCCGTCGTCGCCGTGAGAGGAGGAGGAGGAGGGAGGAGGAGCAGGAGGAGAAGAGAGAGGAGGAGAGGGAGGAGGAAAGAGAGGAGGACGAGAGAGTGGATGAGGAGGAGGTGGAGGAGGACGAGGAGGAAGAGGAGGCTTGGCCAAGAAAAGGGGGATGAGGAGGTCGAGGAGGCGGAGGCGGAGAGGAAGGGGCAGGATCGGGAGCAGAAGCAGTAGCAAGAGGGCAATGGTCGAACGAGGGTCAGCAGCAGGGAGAGAAGCGGGAAGGATGATGATTGGTGTTGGCAAATTTGGCGAAGCAGCATCAGCATCAGCAGCAGGATCTGCAAGAGGAGGCAAGAGGGGAATCAAAGGCATGGCGGATGATGCGCAAGAGCAACAGCACCAGCAGCAGAGGTAGAATGAGGACGAGAGCATCATCGGCAACAGAAGGCGGAGGATTTTCGCACAGCCCGCACCGCCACTTTTCAACGAAAGCTGAGCGTTTACGCGCTTGCGCGCAGACAGAAAAACGCCGAGCCAGGCAGCTGTGGCCTGCGCGGCCTTCGAAAATCGGGCAGATCATTCGAGCCGCGTTGCCCTCAACATTGCAAAGCCTCCAGGCTGGACTCTCCTAGATAGATGCTTTCTAAAGCGCTGCGCCTTTCGGGTGGAACCGGCACCCCTTATCGGGCTTAAATCCTAGAGGCCTTCTAGATGGGGTCCGAGTAGATGGGGTCGAAGGATCCCGCCGCATCGCCGATGTCGGCGATGCATCGGCGACGTCAGCGTAGAGTAAATCGAGCTCCACATCGATCCGCATCGCCGATGCATCCGCGATTCGTCGTGATCCTCCCACCCCATCTGCTACGACTCCATCTGGGAGGCCTAGAGTCGCCCCTGTCGGGCTTGGATCCGGACCTGACCCATAAGTCGGCGGCGAGCGAGGAGGGGAAATGCGAAGGAGAAGGCCTTCTCAAAAGGCGGCGGGGCTTCTCAGAAGCCCTTCATGGCCTTCTGAGAGGTTTGCCGTGCCTCCGGAGAAGATCAGCAGACTTCTCAGAAGGTCGGAGGCCTTCCGAGCAGTCCGCGAAGGACCGCCCCCCCCTGCACTCCTCGGCTACACGCAGGAGTGACCCTCGGGCAAGAGTGACCCTCTGGTGCGCGGCTTTTTGGGGCCGCGGGGAGACCAAACCTGGGCGCGCAAGCCGCTGCCACCGCTTCGTTTTCAGCCATCTGAGGGCCCACCTGCGCCCGCACCCAACGGTCACTCCGGCCACAGGTCACTCCTACGTCCAGTCGAACTCTCCCCCTGGGCTCGCCGCCGACGAAGAGGCTGCGGAGAGGAACGGGTGCGAGCACACGGAAAAGCTCTGCTGCCCTGCCCCTCGCCCCCTCCTTGTCGGGGAGACGTCAGACTCGGGCACGGGGGACCCAGGCTGGCCCGACGGGGGGATAATCCCAAAAACGACGAGACCCCAGCTGAAACCTGACGCGGGCCCCCGCTGCGGACGCCCCACGAACACGGGACCGTCAACACCCAGGACGCGCTCGTCCAGAGAAGTTGGCAAACCCGAGCTCCGGCTCACTCGAGCCCTACGTCTCCCCGATCCTGCGGCGCGCGGTGGGCTACTCGGGCCGGGCGAAAGGGGGGGATGGCAAAGGGGAGGGTTGAGGATCAGCTCACGTAGCTGATTTTCCCGGCGCCTCCCGGCGCCGGGAGGCGCCCATGTATCATGGAATGGGCCCGGCGGCGGGGCCGAAACCAGCTGCATGCAGCAGATTTCGTATCCCCCCCCTTCCCCATCCCCCCCTTTCGTTCGGCCCGAATCCTGCGGCGCGCGGTGGGCTACGCCCCCACCGCGCGATTCCACCGCCTGCGCCCGCCTCGGGCGGCGGACCCCGGCCGGTCGTCGGCGCCGGCGCCCTCGGGTGCGGGGCCGGGACGCTCGCTCGCGACGACCGAGGAGGCCTTGGCGGCGTCCCAGTTTCGCTTCCACTCCTGCGTGGACGCCCGCGGTGGGTAGAAGGAGAAAGAACGCAAGGGCTCCCACGAGGGCGTGAAGTTAGTCGCGCTTCGCGCTTCGCGGGCCTCATTCCTCCTCCCCCTCCTCCTCGTCCTCCTCTTCTCCCCTTGGGGGGCGGCGCGAGAGCGCGAAGTTGTTCGCGCTTCGCGCTTCGCGCTTCGCGCAGCGCGAAGTTAGGAGCCCTTGGAACGCCACAAGCATGAACTTTTGGCGCTCCGCCCGGATTTCCTGGATCCGCGCTGGAATCTCTCTCCCTTTGCGCGGAGCGCGCCAAGGGCGGCGCCGGAGGCTCCGCCAGGGGGGCCCCAGCGCGGATCGGAGGGGTTTGCGCGGAGCGCCGAAAGTTTGTGTTGATGCCGTTGTTCTCTTCTTCGAAGAAGCAATGGGTAACTACGCTGTCTAACAGCAAGATGCTGCCCGAGATCGGTAGCGGGCGCAGCTGGGCAGGCGACCTCTTGCCTCGAGTGGGCAACGCCCACGGCGACACCAGCAGCGAGTCCTGGTCCAAGCTGGGCAAGAACTGCTGTCGGGCCTCGCCTCCGCTCTGCGGTGGCAGCTCATGGGAGCCTCCCGTACCATCTTGCCGGTTCTTGTGAGTCGACGCTGGTCGGCGCTAAATCGACGCTAACCGACGCTAGATCGGCGCTATCTCATCGACTCCCAGACGCTAATCGGCGCTAGAGACAGAATTACGAGGGTACACTAGGCTCCCATGATTTGCTACCGAGCCACTCTTTCCTGGAAGAAGAGAAAACGGCACAAACAAAAAATCCGCGCGGAGCGCCAACAGTTTCTGTCTGTGCCGTTTCCTCTTCGTCGGTTGCCGCACCCACTTCGACCGCAACGGCTCCTGACCGTAGAAGTCGACGAACTCCGCCCGGGTGTAGGCGCCCCCGTTGCCCGGGTCGGTCCTGTACTCCTTGCTCGGCGGGTCGCCGTCGCCGGCTCTGGCGCGCTTGCACGTGGGCGTGCCACCACGCGTGCCACCGCGCTGCAGAATCTCGCCGGCCAGTGCGACGCCAGCGTCGTAGGCGTCGCACACGGAGAAGCCCGCGGCCCAATCCCCGCAGGCGCCCATGCCGTCCGCGGGCTCCCAGACAATCGCCGGCGGGGGGCCCTCTTCCTGTCGTGGGCGCGCCCGGGGGCGGAAGTCTTCAGTCGGGCGTGTGCCTCTACAGGGGGATTGTGGCCGAACAATAAGAAATAGTCAAAAAAAATCAAAAGATGCCCAAAAATACAAAAAAATAATCCCCTGACGATTTTGTGACTATTTTTGAATTTTCCTCCTGTAGAGGGACAGGCGCGACTTAACGGAAGTCAGAGGGGGCAGGCCTTCTCGGAAGGCGGCGGGGCTTCTCAGAGGCCCTCTGACCTTCGGAAGAGTTTTCTGCATCTTCGGGGAAGGCTTGTGACACTTCTCCGCAGGCTCGAGGCCTTCCCAACCTTCTGAGAAGGCCAGCCCCTTCAAGACTTCCCCGCTGGGCTCGCCCCCGATCCTGGGCCAAGCAGCGCGCCGGGAACTCGCCGACGGGCTCCGCGCCACTGAGGCAAGAGGCCGTGCTGTTGCCCCACCTGCCGGCCTGGGCGAAGACGACCTTCGGAGGGCTTCGCCCCGTGAGCTGGCCCAGCAGCTTGCACACCTCCTTCACCAGCGCCGCCTCTAGAGGAAGAGAGGAGAAAGTGCACAAGCATACACCTTCGGAGCTCCGCGTGGATGTCTTGGATCCGAACTGAACCTCCCTCCCTGGCGCGCGGAGCGCGCCAGGGGCTGAGCCAGAAGCGCTACTAGAGGTGCTTCGCGCCGATCCAAGAAACCCGCGCGGAGCGCCGAAATTGCATGTTTGTGTCGCTATCTCTTCGTCGATCACCAGCGCCGCCTCAACATCGTGCTTGGTCCAGCCCCCCTGGGCCCACTCGAGGGTAGAGAACGCCATCCAGCAGTCGGGCACCCGCGAGCGCATCGGCTTGCTGCTGTCGTTGGCAAGCCAGGCCAAGGCCCGATGCCCTTTGACGAATGCCGCGTCCCAGTCCAGGTCGGGCGCCGCGGGCGACTCGAACGCGATCATCAGGTTCCAGACCTGGCACGTCCTCGCTGGCCGCAGCGCGTGGGAGATGGCCGCCGTGGCGGAGGACGGCACAGCCTTGTACCCCGTGGCGCAGCCCTTCCTTTGAGAACCAACAGTGACACAAACATAAGCTTTCGGAGGTCCGCGCGTATTTCCTGATCGGCGCTGTGCCCTCCTCCCTGGCGACAGAGGCGACAGGGGCGGCGCCAGAGGCGCCGCCAGGAAGGTCCAGCGCCGATCCGAGAAATCCGCGCGGACCTTTGATTTTTTACGTATATCATTAGTTGCTCCTCGGCTTCCGTATCTTGTTGGCCTCGTACGCGTGTACCACGGCGTCGAAGTCGGCCCCCTCGTCGGGCACCTCCTGCGCCAGCTCGGGCCTGGTCCTGACCTGCCCGGCGTTGCCCTTGGCACGGCCCCACCGCACGTGCCACTGGTCGCCTCAGGCCGGACGAACGTGGCAAAGACGGTAACAGGAGGGGTGGCATATCGGCTGAGTGCGGCCCAGCTCCTGGCGCAGGAGGCGCCAGGAGCAAAGTCTCTTTGAAACCACGCAACCCGCGCTAGGTGGGTGGGTGGGTGGGTGGGCTCGCTGGCACATAACATAACATAGTAGGGTGCCCAGCTGCGATGCACTGAGATACACTTAACATTAGGTCGGGCATGTCCCCCTACAGGCGGATTTTGGGCGACAAATGAAATATTAACAAAATTACAGCCGGAGTGCAATAATTATCCCAAAACAGGGTTTTTAGACCCACTGCGGTTTCCAAGGTCGATTGCGTGCCCGTCCAGTGCGGGCTGGCATGGCATGTTAAAACATGCCTCCTCCTCCTCCTCCTCCTCCTCCTCCTCCACCTCCTCTTCATCCCGAACGGCATCTCGGAGCCCAAAAATGCGAGGATGTCTCCAGCGTAACGGGCTGGACCACCTCGCGCGCGGCATTTCGGACCCCAGAGTTGCGACGATGTCTCGGGCGAAACGTGCTGCGAGGAAGTCTCAGGCGAAATGGGCTGGACCACCTCGAGCGCGGCGTCTCAGAGCTCCGAGTTGGACCTCCTGGGGCTTCCTCCTGGGGCTTCCTCCTGGGCCTCCTGTGGCCTCGTGGACCCCACCTGAGGCATTCCTGAAGCCTCTTGGGGCTCCCAGAGGGGGGATATCTAACATGTGGCCGTCGGGGCCCCCCAAAATGGGGGGGTGCCACAAGGGCAGGAAAAATCAACGAATCGGCACCGGATGTGTATTCACTTGACACGTTCTGATAGGGGCCCTCCTGGGGCCTCCTGAGAGCCTCCTGGGAATCTCCTGGGGATCCCTGGGGCCTCTCCTGGGCGTCCTGCGGCCTCCTGAAGTTCTCTGGGGCCTCCTGGGGCTCCCAGGGGGGATATGTAACATGTGGTCTTCTGGGCCCCAGGCTGGACCACCTCTTGCGCAGCATCTGAGAGCTCAGAGTTGCGAGAATGTCTCAGGCGAAACGGACCGGACCACCTTGCGCACGGCATCTCAGAGCTGAGAGTTGCGAGGATGTCTCAGGCGATATGGGCCGGACCACCTCGCGAAGGGCATCTCGGAGCCCAGAGTTGCGACGATGTCTCTAGCGAAACGGGCTGGACCACCTCGCGCGCGGCATTTCGGACCCCAGAGTTGCGACGATGTCTCGGGCGAAACGTGCTGCGAGGAAGTCTCAGGCGAAACGGGCCGGACCACCTCGAGCGCGGCGTCTCAGAGCTCCGAGTTGCGTGGGCCTCCTGGGGCCTCCTGGGACCTCCTGGGGCTTCCTCCTGGGGCTTCCTCCTGGGCCTCCTGTGGCCTCCTGGACCCCACCTGGGGCTTCCTGAAGCCTCTTGGGGCTCCCAGGGGGGAATATCTAACATGTGGCCGTCGGGGCCCCCCCAAATGGGGGGGGCCCACAAGAGCAGGAAAAATCAACGAATCGGCACCGGATGTGTATTCACTTGACACGTTCTGATAGGGGGCCTCCTGGGGCCTCCTGGGAGCCTCCTGGGAATCTCCTGGGGACCCCTGGGGCCTGAGACTGTCCCGGGCGTCCTGCGGCAGCCTCAAGCTCTCTGGGGCCTCCTAGGGCTCCCAGGGGGGATATGTAAGATGTGGTCTTCTGGGCCCCCAGGCTGGACCACCTCTTGCGCAGCATCCGAGAGCTCAAAATTGCGAGAATGTCTCAGGCGAAACGGGCCGGACCACCTTGCGCACGGCATCTCAGAGCTCAAAGTTGCGAGAATGTCTCAGGCGAGATGGGCCAGACCACCTCGCGCAGGGCTTCTCGGAGCCCAGAGTTGCGACGATGTCTCTAGCGAAACGGGCTGGACCACCTCGCGCGCGGCATTTCGGACCCCAGAGTTGCGACGATGTCTCGGGCGAAACGTGCTGCGAGGAAGTCTCAGGCGAAACGGGCCGGACCACCTCGAGCGCGGCGTCTCAGAGCTCCAAGTTGCGTGGGCCTCCTGGGGCCTCCTGGAGCCTCCTGGGGCCTCCTGGTGACCTCCTGGGGCTTCCTCCTGTGGCCTCCTGTGGCCTCCTGGAGCCCACCTGGGGCTTCCTGAAGCCTCTTGGGGCTCCCAGGGGGATATCTAACATGTGGCCGTCGGGGCCCCCCCAAATGGATGGGGGCCCACAAGAGCAGGAAAAATCAACGAATCGACACTGGATGTATATAAACTTGACACATTCTGATAGGGGGCCTCCTGGGGCCTCCTGGAAATCTCCTGGGGACCCCTGGGGCCTGTCCTGGGCGTCCTGCGGCTTCCTGAAGCTCTCTGGGGACTCCTGGGGCTCCCAGGGTCCCAGGGGGGATATGTAACATGTGGTCTTCTGGGCCCCCAGGCTGGACCACCTCTTGCGCGGCATCTGGGAACTCAGAATTGCGAGAATGTCTTGTGCGAAACAAGCCGGACCACCTTGCGCACGACATCTCAGAGCTCAGAGTTGCAAGGATGTCTCAGGCGAGACGGGCCGGTGTCTCGGGCGAAACGTGCTGCGAGGAAGTCTCAGGCGAAACGGGCCGGACCACCTCGAGCGCGGCGTCTCAGAGCTCCGAGTTGCGGGGGCCTCCTGGTGCCTCCTGGGGCCTCCTGGGGACCTCCTGGGGCTTCCTCCTGGGCCTCCTGTGGCCTCCTGAACTCCACCTGGGGTTTCCTGAAGCCTCTGAGGGCTCCCAGGGGGGATATCTAACATGTGGCCGCTTGGGCCCCTCAAAATGGAGGGGGAAGACACAAGAGCAGGAAAAATCAACGAATCGGCACTGGATGTGTATTCACTTGACACGTTCTGATAGGGGCCCCCCTGGGGCCTCCTGGGAGCCTCCTGGGAATCTCCTGGGGACCCCTGGGGCCTGTCCTGGGCGTCCTGCGGCCTCCTGGAGCTCTCTGGGGCCTCCTGGGGCTCCCAGGGAGGATATGTAACATGTGGTCTTCTGGGCCCCCAGGCTGGACCACCTCCGGCGCGGCATCTGGGAGCTCAGATTTGCGAGAATGTCTTGTGCGAAACAGGCCGGACCACCTTGCGCACGGCATCTCAGAGCTCAGAGTTGCGAGGATGTCTCAGGCGAGACGGGCCGGACCACCTCGAGCGCGGCGTGTCAGAGCTCAGAAGTTCGAGGATGTCTCAGGCGGGCTCCCAGGGTCCCAGGGAGGATATGTAACATGTGGTCTTCAAGGCCCCCACGCTGGACCACCTCTTGCGCGGCATCTGGGAGCTCAGAGTTGCGAGAATGTCTCAGGCGAAACAGGCCGGACCACCTTGCGCACGGCATTTCAGAGTTCAGAATTGCGAGGATGTCTCAGGCGAGACGGGCCGGACCACCTCGCGCAGGGCATCTCAGAGCCTCAGAGCTCAGAAGTTCGAGGATGTCTCAAGCGAAACGGGCCGGACCATCTCTCGCGCGGCATCTCCGAGGTCTGAGTTTCGAGGATGTGTCAGGCGAAACGGGCCAGACCACCTCGCGCAAGGCATCTCGGAGCTCAGAGTTGCGAAGATGTCTCTGGCGAAACGGCCCGGACCACCTCTCGCACGGCACCTCGGGGCTCAGAATTTCGAGGATGTCTCAAGCGAAACGGCCCGGACCACCTCTCGCGCGGCGTCCCGGAGCGCTAACTTTTCGAGGATGTCTTAAGCGAAACGGCGCATCCCGGCCAACTCAGAAACGAGAACTGTGAGAATGTTTCTGCTCCGGATTCCCTCGGCCGGAATTAGCTTCTATCACAACAGCACCCCGTTCAGCAAGCTGTTTGGGGAAATACCCCCAGATAGTCAAAAATAATATAAAAAAACGCCCCCCCACGATTTTTGACTATTATCTATTGGTCCTCCTCTAGAGGGACACGACCCATTTAACGCTAGGTGGGTGCGCGGGTGGGTGGGTGGGCTCGCTGGCGCATAAGATTACTCAGTAGGGTGCCAAGCTGCAATGCACTGATATACGCCTAACATACAGGGGCAGCCCGACCACAAGAAACCTTCCGCAAGAAACCCAACCCTGAGACCCCAAAACGTCCATGGATTTCTGGCGCGGGAACGGCACGCTTTCCATGGGGGAACCGTCGAAGCCCAAGAAACCCAAGGCACCCTGGAGGCAAGCAAGGTGTTTCTTGGCATGGGCCCCCACTGAGTATCGTTTAACCGATCCCCATCCCCAGCGGCGCGGCCTCGGCCCCACGAGCCGATTTACCCCCTAGATCCCTAGATGGGGATATAAGCCGCCCCCCTCGGGTTTCGAGGGGTGTCTCCACAAAAACCTAAACCGCCCTAAGCGGCACGTAGAAAATTTGCATCTGGCACCTAGAACTTGTCCGTCTTTGGGCCAATTGGCCTTGACGCAGCACGAACCTGAGCCGATGAGGGCTTACCCTCCCCAGGAAGAACACCCCGACGAAAGTAGCTGCATGGCGTCGGTTTCAAAATAGAGCCGTGTTGGGCAACGTTGAAGCCATAGGTGTCGTCTTTGAGCCATAAGGGATCATCTTGGAGTTGGATTGAAACCGACA